ATTACATAATTTTGTACTTTTCTTTTTAAATACATTAATTTTTAATTTAGTTCAATAACACAACACTCAAATATTAAAAAAAATTACAAATGATTGAAACGTTATAATAGTTTTAGATTCTGAGGTAAGTACGACTATATTATCAATGTGGCTTATAAAGCATATTATTATTTAGACAATACTGTCTCCGCTCATGTATAATTGTGCTAACCATAGACCTTAATATACCTACTTATAAACGGAGCATGCCTGGCCGGCGGGTATCAGTGGTGCTGTCTCGGCAAACTGCGTTTAACGCAGAGATGTATTATCGTAATAAGTCAATACCTATACCTAACGAAAAAGTTGAAATCAAAAACAAGACTAGTTATAAGTAATAGGTAATACTCAATACAAGTTTATTCATAATTCGTTTAATCCAATGTATAATTACTATAAGTTATTTATACTGCTGTTTTTGTCTTTAACTATGCCCAACCTGGTTAGTTTTTCATGTATGCGTGGAAGTATGGAACCACATGGAGTGTAGCGTAGACTACCGGGAACCACCAACATGCTCCGTCTAAGAGTATAAGGTATATGGTGCTAATGCCAACCAAGAAAGCTAAATTTAAATAATTATCATCGAGTTAAGTAAAATTAGTAGGTACTATAATTCCATGATATTTTTATAACTTTTGGCTTAATTTAATTTAACTATTAATTATATTATTCTTTTGATAATGATTTTTATTATTTACGATAATCGTTGATAAAGAATTTATCTATAGTTCTTATAATTTAGAAAAATATAGATTAAATAGTGAGTAATGACTAATGATAATATTTAATTGTAATACTACTAATACTTTTTACTTGTTGAATACTTGTACCGTGTATTAAAATCAATTAAAATCATTATAAACATACTACCTATTGTTATATTCTAGAAATCAGTTGGTTCTTTGGTTGCACAATGTGGTTTGCACATTATATATTTCACGATGTTGAAAGGCTGTTTTTTAGATCGAAGAAGTTTGGTTTCTAAATGTTGGAATCGGTTTCTTTTTTTTTTGTATGAAGTTAGGTTGAAATAGATGAGAAAATTTGATGTAATTCATGGGGGTTGTTCAGAGACTTGAAGGTTGAGTTAGTTTGTAAAAATAATATTAGGTTCTGAGGCATAGGTGGCTGTACGAGTGCCAAGATTGTTTAGAATGTTTAGATCATTATTTGGGTATTGGTTGATTGAGTTTCTTAATATTGCGCTGATCGGATTTTTTGTTGCTATTATTGTTCTTAAAGAGTATTCCAATGTATGTTTTATTCTTCTTTTTTTGAGTGATATGAGTTTGTAAGATAGTGGCTATGGTGATTGGAACATTTTAGTGATTAATATCGATCTATCAACATTAATAATTTAAAAATCTTATATAATAAATACTAGATCCAATATTACATATATTTTATAATATTGTTGTAAAACTATTATTAATGACTATAGTACAAGCAATTTAATAATTGAGAAACTATTGGTTAAAATTTAGAATAAAGTACCTCAATATTAAAAAAAAAAAAATCACAGAGTGAATACAAAATGAGTCTATACTCTATACTTCTACAGCGCAATTGTCGGGGCATCATTAATCATTATTAATAATAATTATTATTATGATTATACTAGATATTTGCTATTGGCAATTCAATTTAAAAAATATCAATAACTCCAAAAAAAAGAGGGTAGGTAATGTCCAGGATACGAAATATAATATAATCAATTCTTAGATTTTTTTCTTAAGACAAAAAATAAATAGCATGAAATAAAATATATTTCTATGAAAACAATATACCTTACTTTTAAATAAATGGATTAAAATAAATGGAAAATAAAATGAACTCAGTTAAAAAAAATTAATTTTTATTCAAGCTTCGACATTTTTAAGTCGTTAAGTGCCCCAGTATTTTGATTTACACAAACATTTACCAAGATGGTTAAAACTGTGGAAACGTAAGATTATTATGATATATTAGTAGGTATATTATAAATAAATAGGTAACCAAAATCGAAAAAGAGCCAAGAAATCAGTATTGGCTGTTGGCTCCACATGATAGGTATGAAAGTAAAATTAACTTAACTGCACGATAATCTTTATTCAAAGTTAAGTTACAACAATAAAAATGTTAACTGAATAAGTCAATAAGTTAAAACAAAAATAATTAACTAGTTCGGTGAAAGAGTTAAGAAGTTAAAAAAAATAATTTTTTGACTTAACTTTAACTTGTTGACAAGTTAAAGCCCACCTTTGGACTTATATGTAAAAAACAATTAATGTGGCAAATCACGTCATGATAATAATATAATATAATAGGTCTAAACCTTACCTAAACTGTTTGTTTGAACAAAACAAATTATCAAAGGTCAGCTATAAAGGGGCGCGAAATGAAAAGTTTCGATTTAATTTTTTGAAAAGTTTCAACGGAACAGTTAAAAAATGAAATTTGACATATAAAATAATATGTCAGAAGGCAGTTTTCGACTCGTTGTTTCGGATTGCGAACGTGTTTTGGTAGAATATGCAGCATCATTGTCATGGCGCGCAGTTTTCCTAATTTGACGAGTACCTACTCACACGAGGATACACCTACGAGCGCGGGACCACTCCAAATCACAGCCGGTCGACCGCAAACTTAATTGTATTATTCTTGGGTGGCCAAGGCCACGTCAGTGTATAAATTGCCATGTAGGAAGTAATTATCTCTTTTTCGTCGCTGCCGTCGTTTCGGCCGGATCGGATGATTAAGTGTAATTTATTATTCATTACAGTGGCGAGGTCGCGAGTCGTTCAGTCGCACGCGATTCGCCGTCTGCAATATGAGGACGATACGCAATAACATTCCGATAATTACACAGGCATCGCAATAACATCACAACACGAATAATTAATAACAACGTATAGGCACCAATAGTGGATCGTACCCACGCGAAAAGACGTGCGACGGTACTTCGGAGCAGTCGGTTGTCGCGCAGTAACCGGCAGTGTCTCGCTGGTCTACCAGCTGCAGTTTGTCTATAATATTCGCCTTTTTATCACCAACAACTTCGGCTCTATTCGTTTCGCCGACCATCGATACTGCTAACGACGCGCGTTACACGCGCAGACCAAAACAAAACAGTTCCTGATCCAAACTATACCTTGACCAGTAGCGAGATGTCCTCGTCGCAGCTGTTACTCGACTTGGTGGCCGGCTGGTGGACGGTAGCGGGTTCTGGCGTTGTTCGCGGCCGCGGCGTACCACTTCTGCACGTCCACGTTCGGCTACTGGCGCGACCGAGGCGTCCCGTACGTGCGGCCGACTGTTCCACTGTTCGGCAACATCGGCGGGCTGGCCCTGGGCGTCGAACACCAGGCACGCATGTTCAGCCGGATCTACGACGGGTTCCGCGGTCACCGGTACGGCGGGTTCTTCCAGATGCGCACGCCGCACCTGATGGTGTGCGACCCGGCGCTAGTGAACCGAGTGCTGATCGGCGACTTTGCGCACTTCACCGACCACGGCATGTACACGGCCGGCCCGGACGAGAACCCTCTGGCCAACGGGCTGTTCAACATGAAAGGCACCCAGTGGAAGATCATGCGGCAAAAGCTGAGCCCCGTGTTCACCGCCGGCAAGCTGCGGCACATGCGCGGCCAGGTGACCGAGTGCAGCGAGCAGCTGATGCGCAACGTGGCCGCGGACCTGCCGGCCGGCGGTGGCCAGATGGAAATCCGCGACGTGCTCGGCAAGTACTCGACCGACGTCATCGGCACGTGCGCTTTCGGACTGCACCTGAACGCCATCAACGACGAGCGGTCCTCGTTCCGTAAACACGGAAAGGCCGTGTTCGCGCCGTCGTTCCGCGTGCTTCTCAAGGAACTGGCCTGGATGGTGACGCCGGCTCTGAGACGGGCGCTCCGCATCGGCGACATGCCGCCGGACGCCGCACAGTTCTTCACCACCGCGTTCACCGACACGATGAAGTACCGGGAGGAACACAACATCGTCAGAGACGACTTCATGCAGTCTCTGATCCAGGCCAGTACCGACTTGGTCGTCAACAAGACCGAACCGTACCAGGTATGACGTTGACAATAAAATACATAGTAAATAATATATATAAAGCAGGTGACACTGCAGCTAAATATAGGTGACACGTCAAAGTATCGCGGTAACTATATCCAGGTAATCCCGGCTATAATACTCCCGAAAAAATATTCTAAATCCATAATATTCCATGACAAAATAATATCCCTCGTAAATATTAATTAAAAATTTTAACCTATACCACAAAATTTGAGATGAGAGTACCTACTGCAATAACCACGTACACTTCGTAGTGATTGTGTTATTAGTGATTTTGTTAGGGTGGTATCGTGTATGGATGAATGGCGAGCTAACCGTTTTCACTTTATCTAATTTACTAACATATTTTCCAATATTTAGAAATTCAAAAATTATAGAATTTCTCCACAGTCAAAATTGAAATAAATTATCAACATTTGAAGGACATGAATGTTACGATTTTTCATCAATAAATTAAACTAATAGTTTCAAATTTAAACTTTAAATAATTAAAAAAAAATTCCACAAACTAGATAAGAAAAATATATTTTTGAAATGCGATTAAATTGTATATTACACTTTTATTTGTGAAGGATAACAGTCAAAAAATATCATTGTAAAACCAATACATATTCCACTGTTTGCTTAATATCTAACTTGTATAATCTTGTAAAATATTATGTATTATACATTTATACCTAATATATAACTAAACGAAAAAAGCTTTGGATCTTTACAGTGTACTATATTATATATTTATTCAGTTATTAAATTTATTATTATCAATTAATTTGTGTTATTGAACAGCATAGCATTTTGTATTAATTTATTTTATATATTTAGTTGAATTCTTGGAAACGGATATCGTGGCAAACGCATTTATATTATTCGCTGCTGGTTTTGAAACAGTGTCTACGGCAATGAGTTTTTGTTTGTATGAGCTCGCGTTGAAAAAACCAATACAGGACAAAGTGCGAGAAGAAATGAACATGATGAAGAAGAAACACAACGCTGAGATTGACAATGATTTTCTAAAGGATTTACATTATTTGGAAATGGTATTAGCTGGTCAGTATCTATATATGGTTTTTTATAAATTAAGTTGTACGCGACCTATATCATTGACAAAATATAAAAAATATAAATCAATCAAATTACTTCAATTCGTCATGGAATACGAAATATTAAAACGCGTGTGAGACAATATGATTGTGTTAATATATCATTATTAATTAATTAATTTTATTATAATCAAATAATTAATTTATCAAATCAAAGCATTATTGGAAATTTATATGATGTAAATATTATGTTTCAGAAACTTTACGAAAGTATCCACCACTTTTAACACTGTTTAGAGAAGCTACGCAGGATTACCAAGTACCCGATGACACATTTGTAATCGAAAAAGGTACAAAAGTTCTTATTCCTGCCTACGCAATTCATCACGACTACAGATACTATCCCGATCCGGAGACGTTCGATCCCGAACGGTTCTCACCAGAGGAAAAGGCTAAAAGACCAAATGGAACTTATATGCCGTTTGGCGATGGACCTCGCTTATGTATAGGTATGGTGCTATTGTAATTGAACAATGCTAAAAATACGTTGGGCTCCACACGAGTTTTTCTCAGTGAGGCTGACTTTTTTCTGTAATAAATAATATTTATATAACTCAATTTATGTTTTCGAAACTTTAGGGAAACGATTCGCAGAAATGGAAATGAAATTGGCGTTAACCGAACTTTTGACCACGTATGAAGTGGAACCATGTGAAAAAACAGACATTCCAATGAGATTCAGTAAAAGATCACTAATTATTACGCCTGAAAATGGTATTTGGTTAAAATTTAAACCCATACACGCATCTAAATAAGCATGAATTCATTGAACCTATTCAATACATATAGGACTTGAGCCCAACAGCTTTTAAATAAGAATAAGTGGTGGGTCGAAAGTATAATATTATACCACAGCACACAAAACAAAATTATTTTATTTAAAAATATTCAGACAGTTAAGAAGTGGTCATGTCCTCGAAGTTCCCTACAATTTAAGTATATGATCTTCTGTATACATTGTAAAATAAATTACTGCGTACCAACTATGGAATTTACAATGAATATTATTTCACTTTCTGTTATTTACTGTCCAGTTTATTGTAATAGTGTGTGTAGCTGATGTAAATGGTTAAATTAAAAATATTTAAGTTCGTATATTTGGGTGGGTTACCTTGATGCTATACATTTTGGATTATGTGTATACGATAGTTGCAATATTTCTATTTTGGTTTTTTAATATAACAGTTTTAAATATCAAATAAATTATATTTTTTTAACTTTAAAAATGTATTTTACTAAAATGTAATAAATATAATTTTGTATTCTTTAATGTATAGGAACATTTGTGTACAATAATAATGTCCACACTATACATTTATACCTCCAAAAACAATAGAACTTCTATAGGAAATAATTTTATCTATTAATTATTCAATTATAAATGTATTGTTACAAAAATGTTTGCGAGATAAATAATTGTTACTATTAGACTATTAAAAAACTCTGTCTCTAGGCTAACATTAAAATGTGTACAACTTTAATCAATGTTATGTTGTTAATTTACTTTTAGGTACCTACTATTATATTTAAGTTTCAAGAGTTTTATGGTTTTCAGTGGTTATGAATCTTTTTGCAAATTAAAAATATATATATTATGTTATATTTATACCTACAGGCCTTTTTCGTTTAAGGCCCGTCACTGATGTGTGTAACACGAAAATATACAAAGGTAGGTACATGCATGGTTATAAAAATCCATCAAAATATTAATTTGTTTTATTTATTTTAAAAATTACCTTTCTAAATTATATTGTAATGCATTATCTCAATTGTGTTATAGTAGGTACTTACTACTTAGTAATACTTAACTGCAGGGCTTGAAACCGGTTTCAAAACCTGTATAAACTGTTTAAAACCCAAATCAAATTAAAACCGTCAAAAATTGGAAACCGTTATTAACTTCAAAACCGAAACTGGAAAAAAATTGAGTACCAGTATTATAATAAAAAACCGAAACCGAAAATTTGATTTAAAAAAAAAAATTTAATTTTTTTTAAAATCTTTGTATCTTGACATTTTGGAAAGTTTACTTTACACAAAAAGCGATACGAAAGCTCGATCCAGCGATTCAAAAAACTTAATAAACTAAGAATGAACGCAAATAGTTCAGGCCTTGAAACTGATTTTAGAAACCGGTATAAATCGTTTAAAAACTGAAACCGAAATTTTTTCAATCAGTTTCAAGCCCTGCTTAATTTTACTTCCTAGTGTAGTTGATCAATTTATGTAGATTATTGAACAATATTATATTCCATACCTAGTTATATGTAATATATACATTTACCAGGTGTACAAAAAATTTCAAACTCTTTAATTACTCTATGCGTATTTTTATACCTATATAAGTATATAATATACCTATAACAGATAACACCGCAACAAATTTAATAAATTAAATATTTAATCACCTCGATCGTTAATTATTTCCTATTATCGTTTATCAATCCTTATTAGTCTAATGACCGTTTTCAAACTTTTTGAACACTCTGTATATGATTTATGGTAATAGTTGAAGCTTCGTAATATTATGTAGTCTTATTACTTCTTTAAAAATCTATTTGTTGCACTAAAAATTTGTTAATTATTAAAAATTATATTACAATTAAAAACTCAACTTTATATTTTTCATCATTATCATAAAACCCAAGTTAAGCTTAATAATATTTTTTGTTAATTATGCAGTGTGAAAAATTAAAAATCATATGATTACATACTTAAGATAAGTCTATACATCCCTTAACGACCCCTACTATAATGGTCTGTATACCATTTAATAATAATATAACTTATTTTTCTGTGCTGTATTAATGTATTTTAAAATATTATAATTAAATTCCTAATTTTCTCCCCGTCGACCGTCGTCAAGGCTCCAAGGGAATTATTAACTACGAAAACAATAATATTGCAGTTGCAAAAAAAAAACCGCAGCTGCACTGTACTGCAACATAGAAAGTTGGTTTATAATATAGTGTGATTCCTGGACTCAACATTTGAAATGATCAAAGGTGAATCGAGACACTTATTAAGCACCGAATAATCAGTCAGTCTTCTATTAATTGATGCTCTTCGCTTTGAACACAAATATTATTATATATATACACCATAATAATATATTATAAACGCGTGTTGAACATTCGTATAAAATTATATTATAATAAAGTGCATATTAGGTACCTATTATATTGGTATTATGTTAGGCACACTCGCCCGAAACAGAATCATTGTATGCACCATAGAAGTGGTGATTTTCTGTCTTTGTCTAACACATCAAGTATAAAATATGGAATTTAGACATGTTAAACTGATTGATCTTTAGTGAAGAATTCCGAAAAAAAGACTTAAATTTGTCGTTGTGTATGATTGAGATCGACTTAACCACGTTTTTGATTTTATCCCTCAATATACCTACCTTAAACATAAAAATTAAAATTATTATTAAAATATAGATATCAAATAACTGTTTTCAATTTTTCAAGAAATTACAATCAAAAGATCGAAAATTCGGGAATGTCGTTCTCGAATAGACGAATACAATAAAATTGAATAAAATTATATTTCAAAGTTCTTATCGATTATTCACTATAGGTCAATCGGTACTTTAGATATAGAACACCTTTAAATTTCTGGTGTTGCAGCGCTTTCGCGTGTAAACGAACACAGAAAATCACCGCGGCTTCCTATTCCCTCAATGTTATATAATAATATTATTATTATTATTATTATTATTATTGTAGGCGTAGTGTTATTATATTATTATGATATGCAATCAATAATATTCCTACGGCGCCGTCAGAGACGCAACGTTTTAAATAAAATACAAATCTATATATTATGGCCCGTTATTATTATTATTGAAAATGATTATTGCACTGCACGCGGTGGCAATTGGAAGCTGTTACAATTAACGTCAGGATTAACCGACTGCAGATATATTATGTGTGCACAAATAATATATCACTATACACATTTAATAGCTATATATGTATAATGTATATATTGTGTGTTCATGTGCACCGCACTCCAATATATATTGTATCAATTATTTATTATGTTGTTTCATATTATAAATATAGGTATGTGAATATAACAACAAGGGTACTATAATAATTAAGAATTTATGAAAGAAAATGTAAACGCAAACGACGTATTCTCCATATCGGATAAAGTAGGTAATTGAATGCTAATTCAATTTAAATATATGTATACCTAATAATAAAAAGAAATTAAATTAATTATAATAAAGACAGTTTCTTAAATCGATTTTGACCGTTGTATTATATTGAAAATCATTTATGATAACAAATAAGTATAATATAATAAATACTATGTAGCCCGCAGGCTAAGTGATGGTCAGTCAGTCTATGATATAACGATTAACGAAGTATATAATATGATGGATATTATTGTGAATAAAGTAATTTATAATATTATATAACCTATTTACGTAGAACCTTGTTTTCAATTGTCAATCCTTAGCAATAAAAGTTGAACATTTTATACATTTGTAACTACAAAATAACAATTAAATTTTAATTTGACGTAGGTATTTTCTCAAAAATCGAACTTTAAATAGTTATAAAAAAATATTTTATAAACATTATTTTGAATATTTTTGAACTGTTACTGTATTTATATATCATTAACTTGTATTACATGTTCTATGTTTACGCTTTTTTGTCCAATAAATACAATTTAATATATATTTATATAAAAAAAAAAAGGTAGGTAAGTGGGTGTCGTTCTGCTGTAGGTACACTTGTGGGTCACTGTAATAGATGATGTTAAATTTGAATTCAGTGATATAATATCATTGTATGAGAAAAACGAATCTGAGCGAAAACGGTCAGTCAGCCTATGACTATTACTAAGTATATTTGATGATATTATTATGAATAAATAAAGTAATTTATATATAATCTACTTACAAGGAACCTTGTTTTAGATATACAATTTGAACATTTTATAAATTTTTAACTAAAAATAATTATAAAATTTTAAATATAATATATTTAATATATATTTATATATATTTTTCATATATTTTGTCAAATTCGAACTTTAAATGTTTATAAAAAAAATTGTGAGTATGGATTTTTAATTTTTTCATCTGCCTTTGAAACAATAATATACTGGGAGCCATCTATTAAATGTTCAAATTTTTTTAATAAACAAATAAAATTTTATTCATCTTTAATTGTTCTTTTGTTTTTCACTGCGCTTTTGAAAACTACTGGAAAAATATTTTTAAATATATTTGACTCCACAGAGTACAAACTAGATTCACTTTCCTTTCAGAAAAGATACTGTTGAAGAAAATCTAAGCACTTTTACTGTCCTAAAAGGTGATGACAGACACAAAAATAAAAAAATTCTTAAAAAAACACACATCATTGTATAATCAAAAGATTTATTGTTTCATTCAGAATCTAATATTATGATTTGTTATAAACTACTTAGGAACATTTTCATTTTCCAATTTTTTTTTAGTTTTTTTTATGCTTAAAAAGGCTTGACAATTTAATAGAAGGCTCCTAGATTATTGTTTCAGAGCCAGATGAAAAAAATTATAAATCCATAGTCACAATTTTTTTTTTTTTTTAAGCATTAAAAGGTCAAAATATTAAATATTGACAAAATTCGTAAAAATGACGAAAATTTCGAAATTGTTTTGGGTTAGAAATTCATAAAAAATCTTCTTTTTAAATGTAAGATTTTAAAATGTAAAATAAGATTCCTTATAAGATTATCTATCTTT